ATAGTATTTAAATGTAACTATTTGCATGCCCAGTCTGCAGCTCTGGGGCATTGTTTGTTTGTTTAATTAATTACCTGACTGATGTTTAACTAATTAAAAAGAAAGGAGATTACATACTACTATTATTCCTACATGGCCCAACAGGTCCATATCAGCATATGTGCCATGCAGAACCTCCTTGCCACTGCTCCCAACACCTGCTTCTCTATCACAAGTGGATCCCCATAGACTGTAGCACCCTGGACTTTGACCCAACATTTTAACCTTAAAGCACTGTAGGCACAAATGCTTGAAATATATATGTACAGAAACTAAACTTAAGTTGCAGGCAAATACTTAAGTGAGAATTCAATCCAAAATGCTGGAGCATAAAAAATACAATAAAATACAAAAAAGGAATGTTTTAATTACATTTTAAAAATGGATGCAACACTGAAATTCTCTCCAACTCTGCTCCATTACTCTGCAATTGAAGGTGGGGAAGGTTTGGCAAGGGGGAGAGGTCACCTTGGAACAGGACTGCCTTCCACATCAGAATTTCAGAAAAGTTAACTTTTTTATTTTTGGAGGGAAATGCCAGCCACCATGGCCATGCTGACTAGGGGATCAGCAATAATTTTAACAACTCTAGCGTATATGATCTATAAAACTGTGTGAAGCCAATGCACACAGAAGTGGTTTTCATTAGCTTTTGCATGACTAAGAAAATTCCAAGAAGAGAGAAAGGTAATAAGTATATTCCCCTTAGGAACTGAACTGCCTTCTGGGTACTATAGTTTGACAAGAACAATGCATTGTATAAGCACTGACAACACCAGCAAAGCTTAACTCTTCTCCAGTTGTTCTGCTCAGTTTCACCTTTGATGGGAACTTGGCTTACCAGGAAAAGCACTGCTGAAGGAAGAGTGAAGTAATCTCTCTAAATGGCACAGCAGAGGGTTTTTCCATAAAGTGCATGTCATATATTTTCTGTTGTAAACTTTATATCCCAAAGTAGCTGGATTAGGCTGCTTAATTTTTTAAAAAGCAGATAATACTCTAATAGTATTATCTGCAACCTCTTCAGGATGAAACCAATGCACTGGATCCATTCTAGTTGGGCTTCAGGCTGCACCACGGCATGGAAACAACATTGGTCGCCCTGTTTGATGATCTACTGAGGGAGGCCAACAGGGCCAAAATGTGTCTGCTGGTCCTACTCAATATCTCAGCCGCCTTTGATATTGTCGACCACGGTATTCTCCTGGGCAGGCTCTCCAAGTTGGGAACGGGTGGCCTGGCTTTTGCCTGGCTCCGCTCCTTCTTGGAGGACCGTCCCCAGAGAGGGCAGATTGGAGAGTTTCTCAGCACCATGGAGCCTCAATTGTGGGGTCCTACAGGACTTGATTATCTCTCCAATGCTGTTTAACATCTATATGACGCCGCTGGGAGGGGTCATCAGGGGATGTGGGGCTTCGTGTCATCAGTACACTGATGATACTGAGCTGTACATCTCCTTTTTTTCCAACAACAGTGGATGCTGTTTCATCCCTTGAGTGTTGCCTGGGGGCTGTTCAGCAATGGATGCAGGTGAATGGACTGAGGCTGAATCTGGGCAAGATGGAGGTCCTCTGGGTGGGTGTCCCAGACATCAGTGGTCTGGGAAACTTCCTCTCCTTTGGGGGTGTGTGTGACTCTTACCACTAAGAGTGAGGTTCGCAGTTTGGGTGTACATCTGGACCTGGCGTTCACCATGGAGACCCAGGTGTTGTGAGTGGCCTGTTCTGCACATTTCCACCTTTGGTGGAATGCTCAGCTGTGTCCCTATCTTGATGTGTGGGTGCTCACCACTTTGGTCCATGTGCTTGTAGTCTCAGGATTAGACTACTGTAATGCACTCTATGTGGGGCACTTTGATACTGATGCAGAAATGTCAGATGGTACAGAATACGGAGGCCAGACTTCTTACAGAGGTGAAAAGGTATCATCATATTTCCCCCACTCTGTCTGCTTTGCATTGGCTGCCCATTCATTTCTGTGTTGATTTCAAAGTTCTTACAATGACATATAAAGCCCGAAACGGTTTAGGACCTCTGGCAGAGTGCCTTCTCCCACCCAGTTCTTCCAGAG